CGAGTAGGCCTAAGCAGATGAAACAAAGAGAAGATGGGTCTTTTTGCTATCCTGCCAGGTTTTCCCAGGCCCTTTGAGTTATATTATGATATTTTAGGCTAGAAATGGCTCTTTAAGGCCAGCCAGCATCCATGGCAGAGACCTTCTGATGCAATGCACATTTCAGTTCAAGATTCAGAGCTGACAGTGGTTTTTGCGTTGATCCTTTTAAGGTCAGACTCTTATTTCATGTCCTAATAGATTATTGCATCAAATTTGTACTGGATGAAATTGCAAGGTCAAGACAGTGCTTCTTCCTTTGTAAAATTAAACCTTCAGAATCCCCAGGGATGTTTTCATGCTTTTTGGTTGGATGACATTGAACCAATTTAACTTGAAACACTGATCTTTCCCGTTTCTCCTTCAAATGCCATCATGATACACAAGTAACTTCCTCATGCCCTGTTTTCAAGGCCCTTTAAATTTCATGCCTTCAGCTACCCTGTCAAAGAGCCAGAAAAGCACTAGAGAAACATGGAAGGACCCTTTAATCTACATGAAACAGTAGTTTAGAGATTGTTTTCTTTCTGTTTTTTAAAATCCAGCAGGACAAGTGAAAGTAACTTGTTCAAGTACTTCTCCATCCATCCAGACACTTGTGAAATACAACACAGGGTAACAGTTGCCACAGATTCCAGCTGACACAGACTGGCAGTTACAGTACTAGGGACAAAAAAGTACAGACAGGACTGGGTCAACACAGTCACAAAAGTATTAAAAAGTGCTTCTCCAAACCGTTCCATGTGTGGAATGCAAATACTGTACAGGTAAGACACAGGACTACTTCCAGGAAGTACATGCTTCTGTCAGACGTTGCTTTCAACATGCCTGCTATCCCCACAGGAAGAGCCTGTCTGTTCCATGCGTTCACAGTCAAGGCTGACCTCACTTGTGTCCATGCTACAATCCGATTCACTGTCCGATTGGTCCATCTGCTCAAGTTTTGTTTCTCCCTGTGGCTCCCTGCTCCCGGTGGTGGGATCTAGGAATGGTCCCTCGGAGTCAAGGACCCCAGCCTGCCCTGCAGCACACAGAACTGTTTCTTTGGCTTGACGAATACAGTTGAGCCACTGCTGTTTGTTGAAGGTGTCATTGGCTTGTAATGAGTGGGTCTGACTTTGGGATCCATTTTTGAAACTTACTCTGAAGAAGTTTTTAACTAGAAATGAAAAACACATGAGAAAAAAGGTCAATGGACAGGTATTTCCTCAGGCCAAAAATAACACATGTGATGACACTAACCCCCAGTACCCACGGCAGAGATCACTAATTGATTACTAAATGTGCTCTACTGATCTAGGAATGGCTCAGCTCCACCCTGCGGCCTCCATCAATCAACAGGTGTTGACACAGGTCTGGCACTCAGTTGTTCTCGGAAGCTAGTAAATCAGTACGGAACAACTATGTCTTGTGTTTCAGGGGACCCCAGAGTACTGGGTACCAAACCTGGCTGCATATCAAAATCCCCCAAGAGCATGTTAAAAATACAGATCCCGGGGTCCTACCCTTAGAGATTCAGATTCAGTAGGTCTGAGGTGGGCCTGGGAATCTGTAATTTCAACAACTGCCCCAAGCTAGAGCTTTTTCAAGTTTAAGAAGCTCTTTGTAACATCAAACAGGCCCAAGACCCTCCACATGATAGTACTTGCATATTTAGTATCTGATGATTGAGAAGGTATGTAAAGACTCTTATAAGTTTGGTTTCATTTTAAAATGACATTTTAATAATAACTGCAACAGGAGCTCTGTGCATTTTTTTTTTTAATTTTCTATTTATTTATATTCTTTTGGCTGTGCTACGTGGCTTATGGGATCTTAATTCCATGACCAGATACTGAACCCAGGTCTTGGCAGTGAAAGTGTGGAGTTCTAACCACTGGACCGCCAGGGAATTCCTGGAGCTATGTGCATTTAAAAAATGGTAGCGCAAAATATGGAAGACATTTGATTTAGTTTAGTAACAACATTAACTGTCATTTAATGGGCCCCGTGTGCCACATGCACGTGGTTCACAGAAGTGTCTGTGCTCAGTCAGTCCCCGTGCACGATCCCTGTAGCCAACAGACTGGCTTCAGATAAATTCAGGCTCCAGTCTTTGCTGTGGCGCAAATGCCTTAACTCCCCTACGTCTCAGTTTCTTTATTTGTAAAATGGGGAAAACAAAGAGAATCTACCTTAGATGGTTATTATGAGGGATAAATATAATAATACATGTAAGTGCTTATACAATGCCTGGCACATAGTCAGTACTTGAGAGACGTAAGTGCTACTACTACTACTAGTACTACCACTGGGGCAGAGGGACTGGTGAGTAGGTAAGAGGCAGTATACATGAATTACTTTTACAATATGATGCCAATGTTAACCTAAGAGGCTCAAATGTTACTTGCTCAAAGGAGACCCCCCTGACCATTTCATCTTAAACATACCTCCTATTGCTATCCCTCTCTATTCCCTTACTGGGTTTTAGTTTTCTTAAGGTACCTGGATTATTTATTTGTTTCTCAAATAACCTCTACCTCCTCCATCACAATGTAAGTTCCACAGGGCTTCCAAGGAATTGAATTGTTTGGTTCCCTAGTGTATATCAGTGCCTGGCACAGTGCTTGACACATAGGAGACACTAGATAGACGCTGCTATCTAAGCTTCTTTTGGTTAATTCCTTTGTTTATTAAGTCTCAAGTTAGAGAAGCCCATTAGAGTAATTACAGATAAACCCTCAGCCCAGTTGATCACAGTTATGTCTCTTTAGAGACAAGTCTGCCAGCTTAACTACAAAAACCCACCGTTACACAACTGTAATCACAAAGGGACCATCTGGCCTTAAGAATGCTTTTATCCAGTGGAAGGAGTCAGAGTAAGGGAGCTTAAGGGGCACCAGTTATATGCAGACAGGTCAACTTGTAGTGTCTTACTTAATCCTTATAACAATCCTATGAAGTAGGTATGCATGTATCCCCACTTTGCAGATGGGAAACTAAGGCTCAAAGAGGTTGAGTAAGGTTACACAACCAGTAAGTGATGAAAGAAAACTGGAATGCAGTTTGACTTCAAGGCCATAGCTCTTCTCTTTTCACCAGGCAGCCATTCCCTCCAAACCACCACGACCAAAGACGTTCAACAGGTCAAAATGGACAGCCATCCATACTTCTCTCATTGTTGCTGAACGCCCCACGCAGGGAGCCGCCCAGCCTCACTTCTCCGTCCTGCAGGTCTTCCAGCAGGAGGTCCTTCACGGGGATGGGCTGCCGGTACAACTGGTAGCAGAGCTGCTCGTTGTGGGTGACAGCCCGAGTGATCACAAGTACTTCTTGGAACAGGAAAACGTGTAGTTTCTGGAAGAAAAGAATCCACAGGATTCCCCTAAGCAATAATCTAATGAGTAGTTGATAAGTGGACCTCTGTGGATAAGAGGTCCCTAGGTACCAGGTTCACACTGGCCTATGAACTTCTAGGCTCAAATCTACCTCTGGGAGAACAGCAGTTGGGGGTTGGACACATTTCCAGATGCATCCATTGCCTTTCCTATGGGAGCGCCTCCCTAGGGCCCCACTGAAGAAGGCCTTTCTGCCTACAGACACCTGCAGCCAGGTCTGCCCGCTGCAGTGGCGTTCTTCACACTGCAATTCACAACCTGTGCAGATATATACAGCCTTATAGGAACATTTTTTAAAAAAAAAGGAGAGAGAGAAACCCCATAGAATGAAGAGGGTAATGAAGGAAAATAAGTTAGTGCTCTCGGGCTTTGGTTTATTGTATCCAATACAATTCTAAGAGATCACAATGAATAACAGTCCATAAAGGATGAGACTGACATATCAGAGCCTAATATTAACGTTTGCTTCTCAAACCCATAAAACACTTGTTCCTTCAACCACTGAGCTGATTATTAGCTTCATCCAGGCATCCCAGCTCGGAACACAGCCCATTCCCGAGGAAACCAGAGCATGCTGCTGTAGCCACAAAGAAAGACAATCAAACAAGTTGTCCTTCTCGGTTAAGTTCATAAGAACCTCGGTTCTCTGAAGAGGTTGTGCTTAAAATGCTGATGATTGATGTGTGTGTTGTTGGCAAAAAAAGAATCTCAAAAATAAAGGCTTGTCTCAAACCACATTATAAAAGCAATTTTGCTGAGTGGAGCTGGGGTAAATTGGCTCCGTTCAACTCTAAGTGCCAGACTCTTCCCGCAGGTTGGAAATGCTTAGGAGGTGAAGAGAGACGATCCATGACTTTGCAGCTAGATTCTGGTTTTCCAGTGGCAATATTTGGGAATGTCAGCCTTAGGGTCTGAAAGCGGAGACCAGAAGAGTAGGGCTGAAAATTCACATTAGAATCTTGATTTGGGGTCGGGGAAGCACATTCAGCATTATCAGATAGTTTTAGATTTGGAAGAAAAGATACTTGCAGATCATCTACCCGCACCCTGCCACAGACGGATGGATGGACAGACACACACACACATACATACACACACATCAAAAACTGCAGAAACTGAAGCTCAACTAAATGTTGGCTTGTGGACACACAAACGATGACGGTTCTGTATTGGTGTGTGTTTGCGGTGGGGGCAGGTTTGAAGACCGAAAAACAGAGTAAAGCACAAAATAACCAAGTTAAGGGCTTTTTTTTGGTGTGGGTGGTGGGGATGGCAAAAGAGAATATTAAGACTTTTCTTTTGGAGGTTAGGGAGGGGAGGGGCTAGTCACTGTTCTACGTACTAAAAATAATCAGAGATTTTTACACTGTTTCTACTTCTATCACTCTTTCTTTTTGTTTTTTTTTGGGGGGGGGAAGTAAGGATTTATTAAGAACATCAAGCTCCAGGGCATTTTTTTTTTTTACCATATACCTTTAAAAATGCTTTTTATCCCCAGAAAAATCCTTATCATTTAAAACCAGATATTCAAATTACATGGCTAACATTTTTAGCTAATCAACTCTTCAGCGCTGATCCTAGAAAACCTTCAATGGATCTTTGAATAACAGAGATTCAGCCCCTGATACGAGTAGTGTAGTTAGTCACACCTTTAAAGTTCAAGCCACAAGTTGTCACGTTTGAAAGAGGTGAGGTCTACCGTCCTGCATTATCAGAATTTGTCGTATTTTCAGTGCTACTGGGTTGCACGTTATCTGCGAGGTTGCGTGCATGCTCAAGAAATAAATCAGTATACTTAATTCCTTAGTCAGCAATTTAATTTTTGCTTCCAACAGTTCATTCTCTTCCTTGAGCTGATTCACTCTCTGCAGCGTATCCTGCGCGTTCTGCTTGCTTTTCAACTGGTTCTTTTTCACTGCCATGTTGTTCCTCTCTCTGCGCTGACGATACTCATCACTGCTGCGATCCATGGGCAAACTCTTTTTGCTCTGCTTGCCTGGAGGCACAGCTTTGCCTCCGCCCCCAGGGCCGGTGGGCACCAGCTGAGGAACCTGCTATAAGCCGCTGGCATGAGCCTGAGTATGGATGACACTTATTCCGTTCACGCCCGGGTACTGTTCTGCTGGGATACCTTGCTCATTTGGGCACGCTCCCTTGTCAATACAGAACAAGTAGAAATGAGGACAAGGTGATCAATGGTTTGATCTGCCAAGAAATCTTCATATGTACCTACGCCTCCAGGCCGCCCCTCCCCAAGCAGCCTCCACTCCCAGAGGCCCTGCACGGCGTGGCCTGACCCGACCCAGGCCTCACGGTCCGCCAGTCCTACTTCTACCACTCTTCTAGACAAGGTAGGCACTTTGAACTCAGATTGTCTGGGCAACTTTAAAAAATATCCCTGGGCTTCCCGGGTGGCGCAGTGGTTGAGAGTCCGCCTGCCGATGCAGGGGACGCGGGTTCGTGCCCCGGTCCGGGAAGATCCCACATGCCGCGGAGCGGCTGGGCCCGTGAGCCATGGCCGCTGAGCCTGCGCGTCTGGAGCCTGTGCTCCACAACGGGAGAGGCCACAACAGTGAGAGGCCCGCATACCGCAAAAAAAAAAAAAGTAAATAAATAAATAAAAATCCCTTATTTGTGATGTTCACTGAGAATTCCTCTTCTTAGTCGCAGCTCCTTCCTGCCCTCAAACTGTTGAGATTTTTTTCCTGACTCAGGACTTTATTCATAATGACTTTTTTTCCGCTCCGCGGCATGTGGGATCTTCCCGGGCCGGGGCATGAACCTGTGTCCCCTGCATCGGCAGGCGGACTCTCAACCACTGTGCCACCAGGGAAGCCCCAGAATGACTTTTACAATTCTACTGGGGACAAACAAACAAAAACAAATCCCCTCACCCCAACTAAAATCTTTGTTCTCAAAAATCTATCTGCCTGAAACATGAACTAGACAGAGTTCATCCTTAACGCCCTGGGCACATCCAGCAAGAGGGTCTCAGTCCCTGACTGATGGACAGAAACAGAACAGGCCCTCATTCTGTGGGGTGATGCATCTTCCTATTTCCCACAGGGCTTCTGAGAAAGAATGTTCAAGGAGCCAGAGCAACAGCCATCAGAAGTCTACCAGTGCTTTTCAGATATCAGCAAAAAGCAGAATGCAGCTGTCTGGCAATCAGTAACTCCCTAGTCAAACAGAAACACTTCTTCAAGCAGCGGCCTGTGACAGGTCTCAAAACCTTTGTTGCAACATCAGCTGGTTAGATCTACAGCAGCACTGATAATGGGTGCTGTGACATGCCCTCAGTGATTTCAAATAACATTTCCAAGCCTGCCCATAAATGCCACTTTACAGTCCAGGTCAGAAGGGCATCCCCTGAATCATCAAAGCTTATTAAGAGTTTTCAATCTAGTTATGGCTTTCATTCTACGGGTTGGCTAGATACTGAAGATGAAACACAAAAGTAGTGGAGACTGTCTTTCTCAATGCTGAAATTTAAATATATATTATATATAATAAAGTTTATATATTACATAAAATACATGTTATATATAATATATAAAAATTATATATATATTATATATTAGCATTAATTTCTACTGCTATATATAAAAATAGCCTGGTGAGTTGAATATTTTAAAAAATAAATTTATTTTATTATTTTTTATTTTAGGGTGCATTTGGTCTTCGTAGCTGTGCGCGGGCTTTCTCTACTTGCGGGGAGCAGGGGCTACTCTTCGTTGCGGTGCATGGGCTTCTCATTGTGGTGGCTTCTCTTGTTGCGGAGCACAGGCTCTAGGCACGTGGGCTTTAGTAGTTGTGGCACGTGGGCTCAGTAGTTGTGGTTCGCGGGCTCTAGAGAGCAGGCTCAGTAGTTGTGGCGCATGGGCTTAGCTGCTCCATGGCATGTGGGATCTTCCCGGACCAGGGCACCAACCCGTGTCCCCTGCATTGGCAGGTGGATTCTTAACCACTGCACCACCAGGGAAGCCGTGTATTTGTTTTCAAAGGTCATGACCGAACAAAAGCAAAAGCTGGCAACTCTATGTTGGTTTCCAAAATTTTTCTGAATATATACTGGTCATGAAATTTTATATATATATAATAAAATATAAAAATATATTTAAAAACTATATGATCCTATGATATAAAAGATACTGGGAAAGCAACTTTTGTCTAAAAAATGTGACCCTGGTTAGGGAATGCATAGTAACAGGAGGCTCAGTATCAAGTGGATTAAGCATTTGGGGAGGCCCAGGATGAGATTACTGAAAGAGAGTAACTACTCACCACACCCCGGTTGTTCTTCAGTTCGCCATGACAACACAGCACCTTTGAGCTGTCAATCAGGGAGTCTTTCTGGCCTTCCTCCAAGTAAAGAAGTCGCTCTTTATAATAACGGCATTCAGATTCTCCAGTCTTGGTGTTGATTTCTGCCACGATTCCCTGAATGATGTTTATCTGTGAAAACAAAAAGAAAATATGGGGAAAGTCAGCAAACCATTCACACCAACAAGGCCCAGGTACTCAGCCTAGAAAGTCACTAAGATACACTTGGATCTAATTCTGAGATCATGTTATCTAAGTTGCTGCTTTGGGAAAAGGGAAAAATAAATAAATGCTTTTAATATACTGTATCTATCCATCCATACACCATCTATACATGTACACATATAAATACATACAACATATATTCATTTGTATACACACACATATTTGTATTATATATAAAACTAATGTTGATGCATAATTTTATATGAGTGAAAGAGATATGAGGTATTGATTTCAATGTGCAGGACTTTTAATCACTAAGCTCTATATTTGCACATTTCTTAAAACATGCTCACAATGTTAAAAATGTAGGCATTCAAAAAATGTGGCCAAGGGGAGGAAGAGTAGAATGTAATAGTCTAGAAAAGGGATTGGGTTGTCCTTCGGGATTTGAAACCCAGTTTCAAGGTCTCTCTACGTGCACTTAATCTAACCTACAAACAATATTTGCAAATTGGGTGTGAATAAATGGTTTGAATATCTTTTTAGTGACAAAACATAAATGATTTATGAAAGAGAACTAGGAATGGAAACAAAGGACACTAGGAGTAAGAATGGGGACAATTTGTCTATATACACTCAGGCCATACCTACAGCACACGTGAGTAAATCAGGGGTAGAGGGATTTCAGAGCAATGGTGGATGCATTATTGTTTTTGTTTTTTTGCTTCTTTTGGCCAGGCCGCTCGGCTTGTGGGATCTTAGTTCCCTGACCAGGGACTGAACCCAGGTCCTCTGAAAGTGAGGAGTCCTAACCACTGGACCACCAGGGAATTCCCTGCATTATTGTTAAATTCAAAATGAAGCAAAACACAACAACAAGAGTACAACGCTGAGACATGTTCAGTAAGCATTTATTCCAATGTAGTGTTGTTCTATAACATGAACAGTACATCTAAAAGTTAGAAAATTCTAGAAAACAAAGGAGCAAGAAATTAGTTGAGTAAAAACTCAGTGACACCAATCCAAGGCAAAGTAATGACTTCTTCACCAGAATCCTCTGTCCCCTAATAGTGAAAAGACCAACAGTCCCATCTTTCTTCTGCTGGTATTAACGGAAAAGAACGTAACAGATGAGAAATGTCAGTAAGGCCTCTTCTTGGTCACATCTACTTAATGGAAAAACAAACCAGTCTCTGAAAAGCAAGGTTTTAAAAGAGGCTTTTACTCAGTGAAAAGCTACCAGACCTTGTGTTCAAGTGGTAGTGCATTCTAAGATTGTTAAGTGATGATTTTTCACTTGCCTTCTGCCCAAAGCACCTGGATAAAAACTTCTACCCAGAAAAAAGAAAAAAAAAAATACGGGGCTTCCCTGGTGGCACAGTAGTTGAGAGTCTGCCTGCCGATGCAGGGGACAGGGGTTTGTGCCCTGGTCCAGGAGGATGCCACATGCCATGGAGCGGCTGGGCCCGTAGGCCATGGCCGCTGAGCCTGTGCGTCTGGAGCCTGTACTCCACAGCAGGAGAGGCCGCAACAGTGAGGGGCCTGCATACTGCAGAAAAACCCCCAAAAAACAAAAAAACACCTTCTACCCAGTTATAACCTTGGCATTTCCATGCAAGTTTGATAGAAGATCTTACAGCTTTGAGCTGAAGTCTAGTGACTGCATCCTATGGACAGAGGCATAATCTCTACACCTTTGTAGCTACTAAGAGTTTCAAAGATCATTTATTTACTCTTTTCTCTATTTCCTGAATTTGGATGGTAGCACTACTTTGATAATTTAAAAAAAAAACATTATTTTTAAAAATACAGGCTCTTTATGTCATAAAAGAATTTTTTTGGTCTTTGATGTCAACCTAATGTTTAATATAAGCCCTGTGAAATTAATCTGAGTTTCACTAACACAAAACAAGTAATAAATGGAACACTTTGGTGTACAAACTTTGTTTCTTTTTTCCCCCTTTTGGTTTTCAAAGATGACTAATTATTTACTGTTGCTTTCAAAAACAAACAAACTGGGCTTCCCTGGTGGCGCAGCGGTTGGGAGTCTGCTTGCCGATGCAGGGGACACGGGTTCGTGCCCCGGTCCGGGAAGATCCCACATGCCGTGGAGTGGCTGGGCCCGTGGGCCATGGCCGCTGAGCCTGCGCGTCCGCGACGGGAGAGGCCGCAGGAGTGAGAGGCCCGCGTACCCCAAAAAACAAACAAACAAAAAAAAACAAGAAATTTCACAAAATATTCTAAAGCTATGACTCATCCTTCAAATTAATTCAATTAATGCTTGTTGAGCATCTGTTCAGTGTCAGACTAGATGGTGTCATTCAAAGAAATGAGACAGGGTTGCTGCCCTCAAGAAGCTTAAAATATATGGGAGGTATCTGAGCAATTGTTTTATGTCTACCTTACCTTTCTACTTTACTACATTTTTAATATGTAGTGAAATCCATACTTTTTCCTTGTTTTTAATAATTAAAAAATTGTTTTTCATTTATTTTTTGGCTGTGTTGGGTTTCGTTGCTGCATGTGGACTTTCTCTAGTTGCCGAGAGCAGGGGCTACTCCTTGTTGCGGTGCATGGGCTTCTCATTGCAGTGGCTTCTCTTGTTGCAGAGCATGGGCTCTAGAGCACGCGGGCTTCAGTAGATGCGGTGCATGGGCTCAGTAGTTGCGGCACACAGGCTCTAGAGCGCAGGCTCAGTAGTTGTGGTGCATGGGCTTAGTTGCTCCAAGGCATGTGGGATCTTCCTGGACCAGGGATCAAATGCGTGTCCCCTGCATTGGCAGGTAGATTCTTAACCACTGAGCCACCAGGGAAGTCTCTCCTTGCTTTTAAAGACCTTTGTGGGGCTTCCCATGTACCTAGAGCCCGTGCTCCGCAACAAGACAAGCCACCACGAGAAGCCCGCACACCGCAACGAACATAGCCCCTGCTCGCTGCAACTAGAGAAAGCATGCGTATAGCAACGAAGACCCAACGCAGCCAAAGAAAAACAACAACAACAACAACAAAAAACACCTTTGCGTTAACTGCTGTGGTTCATCTTATCTGCTATTACTAGGTGTACCCGGGCAGCTGGAATTAATCAGTACTTGAGTCAATTTTCTGAATTTCCTACAGGTATCCAGGAAACCAGAAGGAAGATGTACTGTAGGCATAAAGATATTCATTTCCTAATTTAACCCAGGAACTGAACAGCAGGCATTTCACGTGAAGATTAATAAACTCAAAAGCCACATGGTTCCTTAGGCAGCTATGACTACTCTCAAATGCTGCTTTTCTCTCAGGTGTTTGAAAAAATAAAAAGAGACAAAAGAATGGAAACAATTGGTGTTATTCCATATTCTATGTCTATATTTATCATAGTAACTCAGGGTTTGCTTTCATTTATTGAAAATATTATTTCGTATTTATATTGACCTGTATACCATGAACTAATCCACCTGCATACCACGTCTAATCTCTCTGCACTGCTTCTTGAGAGGAATTTATTTTGCAGAATTGCAGAGAGGAATAAAGTTACATATAGCAGACTGTCAACAGCAAACAGTCATGGTAGTTGTGCATTTAAATTAAATTCATTGTTGCATCTCTCATTTGGGTTCAAACTGAAGGGCAGGGGCTGGTAAAGGAAGATGATAAAAGATACCCATAACAGAACACGGATTAAACCCACACATGCTGGAATCGTCATCCTCAAAGTAGAATCTGAAGGTCCTGTCTGTCTAGTCCCTTGTGCAGTAATATCATCTACTTGTTGGCTCCCAACATGGACCAAGAATAGCAGCCTTCACTGCTGTTGCATCAAAAGCAGGACTGTTCTTCCCATTGATTCCAGTGATATTTTTTTAAGGAATTGGAACAATGGCAGGCAGAGGGAAGAGATGGTCTGCAGGATCATTTTCTGGCTGAAACAATCCTTAGAATTTAAAACATTAAACAACCAGATCTGGAATATATGAATATCCAAAGTTCTATTTTAAGATGTTCTCTTTGCAGGGAAATTTCTATCAACCCTCCAAAATACTATTAAGAAATTCTAATACAGAAGTGGTAGTTTACCCACTACATTAAAAGCAAGACCTTTCTTTAGATCTAATCATAAGACTGAATGCTTGGTGCAGGAGCAATTTACTTAAGAGTTCCCTGATTTTTCCCTTTTCATAGGTGGAAAATTTATTCAGGGCACATATAAGTCAAGCTACATTGGTATTGTGGATTTTATGGTTATCAAACATTCACAGTGCACTCAGGAGTACAGGGCTAAATATTTCTGTTCATCTAGGGTAATGCCACAGGGATTTTGAAAAGAAGGGGGAAAAACTGCTGTGCCTATATAGTGTAAATGGGCATTTAGAAGGCTTGCTTTGCAGACATTTTCAAATGCAGGTATACCATGCTTCACACATAAATCTGCCTGAATAACTAGGTGCAGATTCAACTTTCTAAAATGGCATCACATTTTATGCACGAGGGAAACTGGTGCATCCTTTCATACTGCAAACAATCATATTCTTATCTGTTTTTAAATTTAAACTTTAGCTCACTGGGTGTTTTTTTAAAACAAAGCATTATTCTTTCATGCTGCATATTAAAAAGAAGAAATCTTTACCGTAAAATTCAGAGCAGGCTTGTTTGCTTCAAAAAAGTAATTATTTAGACTAGTTTGAGCTCCCTGTTGTTCTCATTTCTACAGACCACACACTTGCTGGGATGAAATATGGAGAGGAGGCAATGCTATTCCCAGTAATGAAAACAGACACGATGAAGTGAGATGGGCTTCATCCCTGGTGTCTGCATCCCCCATCATGCTGGACTGGTAGGCTAGTCTGTATGTTGGGCCTGCCAGACACATCAAACACCTCTTGAATCAGAAGAGGGTCTTTCCTTGTTCTTCTCTCTCCCCACACGGACAACTGGCCCAGCTCTGTACCAGTGAGGCCCCTCCACAAAGCCTGGTGGCTAGACAGCTCTCTGCAATTCCAAAGGCAACAGGGGCTTAAAGAAGTAGCCAGGCTTTCAGCTCCATAGGATCATAAAGAAGTGGAAAAGTCATAAGATTTGCAGTCTACACTGACAAGGTTCAGATATCAACTCCATTACTTGCTGGCCCTGGACTTGGGTGAGTTATTTAATGCCCCCAAGCCTGATGTGGAAAAGGAAAATGGCCCTAACATGAACAGGTACCTCACAGATTATTATGAGGATTAAATGAGATACATAACCCATAAGGCAATTACATAAAGTTGATTTACTAGATGTTCACTACATGTCAGCAGGTGTTACTATTATTACTGCTGTTGTTGTTACTACTTACTATTAAGTAAGTTAAGTCTTTCTCTGGGAAGAGATAGGCAGTTTGCTCTACAGGCTCAAGGCTTCTCATTTTCTAATCACCTTTGCATATCACCTTCTGTTTTTGTCCCAGATCCAGGCAGGAAATGAGCTCTTTGAACTGGTCTCTTAGCCTCCATACCCACTGCTGACTCCCTAAGCAGGTTTCCAAGACTGACATCTGGACCACCGCAGCATCCTCCCAGCTTGCTTCCCTGTCCCTAGTCTCCTCTGTCCCCTGTCCTACAGATGAAGAGTAACATGTCCAAGATTACACAGCTGGTCAGTGATGGAGCTGGGATTTGAATGTTGAATCTAAGCTACTCAAAAAACAAAAGCACAACAAAGGAAAAATGTCTCAAATTGATATTTAAAACCCCCTATAACCACTGTGAACCACCACCCTCTGCCCCTTCTCCTGCTGCTTTCTGAGTATCGTCAACCCCAGGCAGACTGATCCATGGCATTCCCTGGCATGACCTGTCCTGTCCTTTCTTCACACCTTTGCCCAGGCCATTTGCTCCTTGGGCCTGTCATCTCCTGTGCCCTGCCCCACAGAGCACCACAATCAGAACTGAGCTCTCTGGGCAGAATGCTCATAGTTCACCAAAGTCTCACAACATGGACCCCATTTTTCCTGGTATTCCATTGCTGCTACGGAAGAATCTGTATTTCCCAAACCACCCAGCCCCATACTCAGTACAGTTGCTGGGGAGTAGGTTTTGACTAGTCTGCATGTTTCAATCTGGGGCCAAGGAGAGCTGGGTCTTAAATGGGTGTTGACTTCACAAATGGGCTTTGGTAAAAGGTAAAAGGCAACTCTCATTTGCTAACTAAACAAAGCTATTCAATTTAAAATCTCCACAGAGATCTTAACCCTCACATTCGGCAACTGTAACAAACAGATTATAGAGTTACCTATATAGAATCAAGAAATTTTAGAATTAAAGGGACTTTAGAGTGAAGCAAGCTGGGAGGATGCTGCGGTGGTCCAGATGTGCAGTCTTGGAAACCTGCTTAGGGAGTCAGCAGTGGGTATGGAGGCTAAGAGACCAGTTCAAAGAGCTCATTTCCTGCCTGGATCTGGGACAAAAACAGAAGGTGATATGCAAAGGTGATTAGAAAATCAGAAGCACTTTATAGATTATGAATAGTGCTGATTTGCAAAATCAAAACATGGTTAATGTCAGAGCCAAGCCTGTAACCCAAGATTCCTGAGTCCTGGTACCCAGGGACCCTTCATCTTCTAGCCATTGGGGAAAACAACAAGAGAAGACAGAAAGAAACAAACTCACAGCTTCTTCCAGGTGCTGCTGATCCGGATTATCATTTGGTGTGTGCCTCAAGATTTCTCGAAGAAGCAGAGGGTATTTCACCAGACGGCTCCTTGGAATATCAAGGAAATTCCAGAGATCTAGTTTGCGGCTAAAGGGGGATTCTAAACATCGCTGTAGGAAATCTTGAACTCGGTGATCTTGTTTTTTGTGGTCCAGCAGAGCTTTGGCAGCTACTTGATTGCTGCAGTAGCTGTCGTAGGAGCTGAGACAAGGCAGCTAAGAAAGGAACATTAAAAGAGGGTTGGAGCATTAAAATAATTGTGCTCTGAAGCTACATGCTAACATCACTCAGTGGGACTGAACAAAACCTAACTGGTCTCCAGGGCTGGCCAACATTCCTTTACCTAGATGGCTGGAGGAGACAGAAATGGAATCTTTAAAATGGCAGGCAATGGATAGTTCTTTAAGCTCCTGCTTGCTTGCACAAAGTTATTTTCTTAGTGGCATGTTTACTTTCTTGATTGTTAACACCTCAATAATTTGTTTGCATTTCTGCCAATCTAAGCTAGACACAAGAGAACTGGAATTACTGTATATGCACACAATTCAGAATTTTCCTAAACTGGAATTATTGCATATGCATACAGAATTGTCCTAAACTTTCAAAAGTATCTGGTGAGAGGAAAGTCTCCTATATTTCTTAAAATACGGGTTCTTTTAGAATTGTTAATAAGAAACTAATATAGAAGACTTAGTGGCTCAAAAAGAAAGGAGTCAGACTCCACAGCCCAGCCCTTTGCATGGCCCAGTGCAAGCACCTCTACATTAGTTTTAATGTACCTGATTCCAAGGTGGACCAAATATAAAGAACTCCAAGAAGTTAAAGCAAAAGTATAATTACTAAAAAATTAGATGCAGAAAGCATTTAGAAACATCTTTTAAATCAGTCACATGGTGCAAACAAGGAGTCAGAGACTCAGTGAAAGCACTGCTCATCTCCCTTTTCCACTCCTCCCTATGACAGCATCCTAATGCACGGGTAGTCAGCTTCCAGAAAGTCACTGGAGGCAATAAAATGCAGCCAATGGCTCTGCTGTGTTTGCTTCTCTCCCTGGACTAGGAAGCCGCTTTTACCATAACACCTGCTCTGTGGAGGGATTCATTACAAGACAGTGGCAAGAGGGTCTTTCATTTCTGCATCTTTAGTACTGTGCAATGGGCCTAGTGTACAATAAACATTCAAAGTCTGTATTCTGAATGAACAAATGAAAGAATGTTTAATGGATTACCAGGTTAGGTAATATTTGATGGTTTGTGAACACAGCTTAAAAATAAGTTGTGGCAGCATCTGAACAGTGGGTCAAAGTTTAACTATTCTGCTACTTCTTTTATACCTTTCTTTGAAATTACTTTCTCAGTGACTGAAACCAAACAAGATACCATGAAACTAATGTTCTAAAAGTTCACTGTTGGGCTTCCCTGGTGGCGCAGTGGTTGGGAGTCCACCTGCCGATGCAGGGGACACGGGTTCGTGCCCCGGTCCGGGAAGATCCCACATGCCGCGGAGCGGCTAGGCCCGGGGGCCATGGCTGCTGAGCCTGCGTGTCCGGAGCCTGTGCTCCGCAACGGGAGAGGCTACAACAGTGAGAGGCTCGCGTACCGCAAAAAAAAAAAAAAAAAGTTCACTGTTGAGTTTAACATTCTTTGGAAATGCCTACCTTCTTTACATGTTATTAAAAACCTCTATTTGTGTTAAAAAGAATTACAGAAATTCTTTTCTCAATGTTATATTTGAAAGTAATGATAATTGGTGCTTACACACACAGACACACACACACACACACGCACGCACAAACAGCCTGGATGTGTAATGTTTAAAAGTTCACTGTCGATTTAACATTCCTTGGAAATGTCTACGTTCCTTACATGTTATTTTTAAAAACCCTTCTATTTGTGTTAAAAAGAGCTACAGAAATTCTTTCTTCAATGTTGTATTTGAAAGTAATGATGATTGGTACTACACACACACACACACACACACACACACACACACACACTCCGGATGTGGCGCTGTGGCTTGTAATTTAGATCTTCAGAATTAATTAAAAAGAGACTCAGCCCCTCTTATTTTCATTTCCACTTCCTGGCTTTTTAAAAAGACCTGGAAATGCCCAATGTTTTCATTATGGAGAAACAAATCAGTAGTAACCATCAGATGTAAACTAGAAAGGAACCCCAGCCACACGGCCGCTTGCGGTCCAATGGGCCATTATGTTCTCTGATCCTGCCGCCTCTGCTGCCATGGCAACCAAATCTGGCTCTGGTCCTGTGTTCACTGCTCACAGGGTGCTCATTTCCTGAGCATAACCTGAAAAGCTATCTGGTTCAGCCCACTGGCTAGAAAAAGCCACAGGTGACCTTTAACTAGATAGGGAATGAAGAATATACACATCTTGGTTCCAAAATACGCTGTGATAACTCAGTAGTTAAGAGGACAGACTCTGGAACCAGGGAGTATCATGTTCAAAGCCTAACTCAGACAGTTAATAGTCAGGTGACCCTTCAGAAGCCTCAGTTTCCCCACTTACAAAATGCACATAATAATGTCCTCTTTTAGTGAGATACTGCGATATGGCAGGTAGAAAGTGTAACAAGAGCTTGGCTCCTGGTTAAGAATCAGTAAGTAATAGCTATTATTAATATTATTATTATTTAACCCTAGAATATTTTCATTGAAGAAACTGTGGTTGAGAGAAACAAAACTACTTGCTCAGCTGGAGACAAAACCAGTCTGAAATGCGTTTGGCCTCCCCACCACCCTCGAAAGCTCTGAACTATTCACCATCTCTTTAAGTAGACTATCAAGAATTTCTAAGGGAAACTCTCAGCCTTTTTTTTTAAGAAATTCTTTCTATCTTCCTAACATGAAAAGTGATAGAGCAAATGTAGTTTTTTGCTTCCGTGTACCCTGCCTCTCTCTTTGGAATGAAAATTTAATGAGAACCCAAATTAACATGAGAACTTGCTGCCTTGGAGACCTGATAAATTACCTCATTACTGAAAAAACGTTAGCATGAAGATGTCACTTGGGAAGTTGTTTCTCTGTGAGAAGGGGAGGCTTATGAGAACAGGCCAACCTATGGTTACTGATCCTCAGTAATGAGGGTGGTTCCCTGAAAAAACCCCACCACTCTGTTTAAGGTCTTCAAAGTAACTGATTCATTGTAAGGTCAAAAGGACTGGCCAGGGCTATCTCACTTGGGAAACTCACTTGTTTAAAAGGTTTTTTTTTTTTTTTTCACTTTTTTCCTTTGGGGGGAAAAAAAGCAATTTTTCATGGGTTGAATGGGCTCTGACTTTTCTCATTCAAAGTCCACTAAGATGTTTATTTTGTTCTGTTAAAAAGACCAGAACTCAAACAGATGTACCCCTTGGTTTACAATTCCCACTCACATGGACACATCTGCAGTTAAAAGAGGGAAAACATTTAACTGCCCATCGGTCCTGATGAATAAGGACCGTTTCTCATGAGGTCTGGTAACAGTGGGCCAGTTGTTTAGTTTTAGGCTACTCTTCAAGCTGCAAGTTCCCATTTGATATGGGAAGTGTCCAGATAGCAACGGACCGGCATGGTCAAACTTCTTTGGGGTATGTACAGAAAATGACTGCAAAATCTACCCCCATATTAAACTAATTTCCTAATGAATTGCATTTATTTCAGGAAAAAAATTAGTAACAAGGCAAATGCGTTCATTTTTGCTTCTGGCATAAACTGATAATTTGTATACGACGTCTGAGGAAACCTTGTAGTTCTACATTGCCATCTTGTCAAAAACAGAGGGGTCACCATGCTATTCTGGAGTTGTGCCCTCACTCCCACCAAAGCAATCCACAGACTGAGGAAGTTTAAGAAAGATTGAGGCAGACTCTCTCTTCTCATTACACTTCCTCTGTCTCCAGCTGGCTAACTCTCTTTAGAGAAATTTATCTGTGGGCTAATGAAGTTAAGACATCTAACATGCCTCATAATAAAATCAAAGTCAAAAATGTAAGATGAATGATCTCTCCTGAATTATTAAGGCACGTTTTCTAAATTATTCATCTTACAACATTACCTGCCTTTCAGATACCTTTGGGATATTTCAGCCTCAGTGCTAAAATTGACTCCTGAACTAACGTGGAGCAGGGGTGGAACACTCAAGGACTCACAGAAGGAAACAGAAATGCATAATAGGGAGTGGTGGGGACTGTGGCAAAATAGAGAGCGCATGCCTTGTCTAAAATAAATTACAACTGAACAACCACGTTATGCACTCAATACAACACCAGTTCAGCCCCAGAACCATAAATTAGAACCCGTAACCTAAAGTCACAGGTGATTTATTCAATTAGGAAAGGGTATGGATTATATTGGGATAAAGATCAGCATAATAACCAGCTCTCCTAAGAAGTTACTTAGGATCAGATATATGCTAAACACTAACAACATTTATGAAATGACATTTGACCATAAGAGTTTTTTTGGGTAGCATGAATAAAAGCTTTCTTAGTGATGGACAGGAAGCTGTACATAAATTTTTACTAGAATAAAAAATGTAATAATTATATTTGTAATTGGCCTGATGTGAATATTAACTAGTTTTACTTTCTTTAATGGGAAACTAGTAACAATTTCACGTGTGCCTTTACTTCTTTTATTGTACAAAGGCCATGTTATCTTTAAATGCAGTACATTTATAATAATAAGAAAATTGTTTCCATGCTTTGAGGAGATAAAGGCTAAATGTAATGATAAATTTTACTAGAAATTTGCTATTTTAATTTTTTCTGATGTGAAACCAGTGTTTGCCAATAAAACGAGTCTCGCTAAAATGAAGCTCCATCTACATCACTGAAATTTATCTTCAATCAAGACCAGAGAACTTTTCTTACCCAGCCCACAAGGATGGGGCCGACGTGCTCAGTTGAGCCATCGGGCTTCCGTACATCTCGAAGCTGACTAAGGAGGTCTGGTAAAAAAACAAAGAGAATGCTTATTTTGTTAGGCATTCAAATATGAACAGGGCTGGGAGATTTTGGGTTACTCAGATTATTACATAACCATGACTTGTTATAAGACAACTCAAGGCTACAAGTCAAGACTCATTCTGGGAACAAAATTATACCTTCGTGTAGAGGAATCAGGGAGTCCAGTGTTCCAAAAATTTGATTCAACTCTTGTTCTGTCATTATGGAGAGTTTCAGCATGGGGTCATGATAGGCCTGCACAAGAAGGGCAAGAGATGGAGGCAAACATTTAAAATCAGAGGAAGTAAGTTGTTAATGTAAATGCCTTCTGAGAGGCCCTACGCAATGACAAAATATTTGGCTCTCCCCACGACTTCTCCCATAATGCTGCACAAACAGCAGATGGGTGTGGTTGGAGCAGATGAGAATCCAGCATTGCCTTGAGCCTTTTGTGGTTGTTGATAAACCAAAGCAGATTTTTTTAAAGCTTCTTTTTTTTAAATTCTAGTATATCTTACATCTCGGCAAGGGCACAAATCCTAAGTATAGCACAGATTTGATTTGTATAATGTTTTAAAAATTAACTTTATTGAAGGTCTAGCAGCTTGAAAAACTCCCACTTTATACAAAATTAGTTACTAGCAGGTTATTTTTCAATTAGTCCATATTTAAACTAATTAAAGGAAGGGGAAAAAAATGGTGCTTGGTATCCTTTACTATGGATTTGAAGCAAAGAGGGCAAAATCTCTGCCAATCTTATTACCTCTTATTAATGACAATTAAAACACATGAACACATAAATATACCCAGGGCACTGCAATAGAATACAAACACTCAGACCGCACAGTCCCTGCCTTGAAGGAGTTTTATAAAGCTAATTGGGAAGATTAAAAAAAAAAAAAAAGGCACGGAAAATTAAATATATGTGTAAAAAATAGTTCAAGATTAAAAATAGGACAGTTATCACACTGCAGCAAAAATTCATCAAATCATAACTGCTCTAGAGGATCGGAGAATTAGAGGTAGAATGGCTAAGGGAGAATTTAAAGATGAGCTGCTTGGCATAGAGAAGGAGGCGGTAAATACTGTTGAAGAATGTACTGAGACTTGAGTTTGCTTCTGGAAGATAGGTGGATATGGATGGTTGAAAGGTAAGGGAAGGGTTTCCAGGAAGGTAGGACCAGCAAAGCAAAGGATAGAAGTGAAAAAGGGAAATCTTGATGCAGGAAGGAGGAGTTGGACTTATGACCAGCAAGATGTCTCCCAGAGTTAAATGTTTTCTTTTCTTTTTTTTAATTAATTTTATTTATTTATTTTTGGCTTCGCTGGGTCTTCATTGCTGCGCACGGGCTTTCTTTAGTTGTGGCGAGCAGGGGCTATTCTTCGTTGAGGTGCACCGGCTTCTCATCGCGGTGGCTTCTCTTGTTGCAGAGCACAGGCTCCAGGAGCACAGGCTCAGTAGTTGTGGCGCATGGGGTTAGTCGCTCCACGGCACGTGGGATCTTCCCCGAACCAGGGCTCGAACCCGTGTCCCCCTGCATTTGCAGGTGGATTCTTAACCACGGCGCCACCAGGGAAGCCCCTAAATGCCTTCTTTGTCCTCCCCACCTTCCTCCTCCTCAGCCCTGCCCCAAACTCAGTTTCTTGGCTGCTTCCAAGAAAAGCTTGGATAGCCATTTCTCAGGAATGCTACAGATGGGATAAAGTTGGACTAAGGACATTAGCATAAAGTTGGACTAAGGACACTTAAAAGAAGGGAAGTATCTTTCCAACCCTCTGATTTTTCAAGGAGGCTGTTAGTATCAGATGAAGGATTCTGGATTTTACCCTCCATGGGGGTCAGTGGAATGGAAAGGTTTTTGAGGAAGGCTGTTGTCAAGACTATACAGACTACAAGGCGTGAATTTCCTCTCCCTTCCCACACACAAAGTGATTAAAAACAAGTTTCCATATAAAAGACTCTAACTTACATGATAGTGTGCAGTTGCCTCAATGAACCACTTTACCCACTTTCGGGATTCAAATGACTTTCTAAGACGTGGCTCCAGTTTCAGATGACTACACACTCTCTCCCAGGGATGAAGGGGACCTGCATGTGAGACTTCTAGGACAATGAAATGCATGTGAAGCCAGGCCTGATGATCACTTTCTGATTAAACTGAAGTATTCTTTGAGGTGCGTCAGAGACATGCAGAGGAGAACCCCTAAGGGTGCCAGGTCTAGAGCCTTCCTGCTTTGAGACATTTTCCCCACTACTTGGTTTGTAGGTTCTTCTCAATTTTTGATGACCTGTCTTAGTCATAGAATGAGTACTAATAAAACACAATCTTAGAACTGTGAAATTACTCAGAGGAAAAAAGCAAGAGGTGACTCAAAGGACCACTGGATTCAAATGTACCTTTTTTGCCAATTTCAGGTCCTCTATTAAATCTTCCTCTCCTTGAGAAAGCTCAAAGATGGCCTGCAAGGAAAGGTAAAACACATTTACTGAACTTTCCTTTCATTTTTGAGACCAAATTCAACTGATGCTCAAAGCCCCCAATCTATTTATTTCTTAAGGATTTTTAAAGGATTCTTAAAAAGTTAAATTGACCTGAAAGCAACTGCATCTAGTGGCTAAAACCTACAAAGAAAAGATTTTGCAAAACTTCTGTGTAATGTGCCTGTTTGTTTGTGGGAGAAAGAGTTTCCACATATGTTTCTAATCCAACAAGTCATATTTCATTTAAAGAATTGTGATGCAGCTGAACAAGATGGAACTATTTTAGGTAAAATAATTAGAGGCTGAGCCATGGATTCCATGTCTCTTTTGTGAGTGGCAATCATAATAAATGACTCGGGGTCTGTTCTCAGTGATGGACGTGGAATTATTATTAATTGGGCCATCACAATTTGTCTTCCTTCTATTCAAGAGAAGGTAAAATCTCAACAGAAAGCTATTCCCATCAGCCACTTGTCTTAAGGCTGTGTTGCAGGAAGAATCCGATATTTTATCACTCTAGATGTCTGGTGAAGTTAATTCATTCTAACTTACTTCTTGGCCCCGCACTGCACAATAAATAAAGTTACAGGAGCTGGCTGTGTGCAAGAGTGTGTAAATGGACGCAATGATTTGCTTCTATTAAGCCATCATAATTTAAGAGCAATGATGTGCAGAACAGTCTTTCTCTCTCACCTGACAGTCTCAACTGTTGGCAAACTTTATGTTATTAAAGAACTACTTGCCTGTGGTGACTACTACATTTCTTTCAGGCCAGAGGGAAGAGGTGAGCAGGCTTGGAGAACACCTCCATCCCTGGGGTTGGTGGAGAGCAGGGCAATGAATGTGCTCCCTGGCCCAGCAGGCAGAGGCAGAACACTGCGCTGGAGGACAGTGCATGGTGACCCCTCTCAAGGCCCCCAGTAAAGCTTCCATGTCATGCCCTCCTGGTACTCTACTTTGTTTAACCTTTTATTTTGAAATAATTAGACTCACATGAGAAGTTACAAAAATAATACAGAGAGGTCCTGCATAGCCATTACTCAGCTTCCTCCAATGGTGGCAACTTACATAACTACAGAGCATTATCAAAACGAGGACATGGGTGGTTGCAATACAATTAAATATTTTTACTCGGACCTTCCTCAGATTTCCTTGTATGTCTGTTTTACCAGAGCACAATGTGGCCCCCAAGAGGGGAAAACCACAGAACCCACACTGGGATACACCACAGTCAGGTGTCTGTGGAGGGGGGTGGGCAGCACAGTGTCACTGTGAAGACCATGGGATTTGGTTCACTGCTCCAGCTCTGTAACTTTCTAGGTGGGTGACCTCGTGTTCACTGTACTTTAGTAATCTCTTCATCTGCAGAATCAATCCCCCCCTCCTTCCTTCCTTCCCACTGTACAAGTTACATATGCACACTATTACACAGAAAAGTATAAAGAGGAAAATTTTAAATTATCCACAGTATCATTTGTTAACCACTGTTAAGATTTTGCCGTATTTCTCCAAATGATTTTTTCAGTGTACATATTATTTTTTAATTATTTATTCATTTTTTAATAGACGAACATTGACATGGTTCAAAATTTATAGTGTAGGAATGGGCACATGGTGAAAACTTCCCTCTCACCTCCTCTCCTTCTCACCACCCAGTTCCCCTCTCAGGAAGCAACAATGTTACCAGCTCCTTACATGTCCTTTCAGAAATATTTTATGCCTCTATAAGCAAATGTGCGAGCGCGCGCGCGCGCACACACACACACACACACACACACACACACATTTTTACTTTTTTTACATAAATGGTAGCATACTATACCACCCTATTTTGTGCCTTGCTTTATTCACCTAGCCATACATACATATCATCACTTCTCGTGTTTCTATAGTTACAGAATGTATGCACATTCACTATGGAACTAGGACCTGGTAATAGATGTTCAGGTTCTTTCTGGCACTATTGTAAACATTACTGTGATGAATAACCTTACACGTGCATCTTTTCATCTGTGTACAAGTATGCCTGGCAGATAAAGTCCTAGAAAAGAATTGAGGAGTCAAAAACTTAGAAAGTTTTCAAGTACTCCTTTTGCCAGTGTCAGGTTCTCCACTAAAATAGATATTCCAAGGATTTCATTAGATGATGCACCTTTGAAGTGTTTAGCACAGCCTGGCACATGACAAGTTCTCTATAAAGTAGTATTATCATAGTCATCTAGGCTACTGGTACAGAAAATTTACAGGGAATGAAATTAATTGCATTCCATATTAAAGTTTTCCACAAAACTGGATCAAAGTTTCATAAACTGAATATTTTAAAATATTCTAGAAGGTGCTAGTAAAATATAACTGAAATGATTATTTCTGTGAACTCTATGGTCCTAAACAGACACTTCCTAATTCATCTTCTTTGTAAATTCAGATTTTCACATCAGCGTCTTTTTTTTTTTTCCCCCACATCAGTTTCTTTTAAAAGTCAGGGCCACACCCACCCAGCTGGATGCTGGTTTCTCAGCTCCTTACAAGGTCTGACATCCCCATTTGTCGTCCTTCTATCAATGCAGTGAAGAACTGACTTGGAGACCGCGGTGTAGACCCCAGCTTGGCTCTCGCCTTCAGTGTGCCTTGTTCTAGACACACGGGCAACTCCAGGGGTCCCAGCCTACCTCCTGACGTTTGATTTCCTTGGACGTGAGCATCTGATTGACGCACACGTCGAAGGTCTCACTCCATAGCTTGCTGTCTCTCCGCTTCGTGCTCGAGGGGGCGGCATTTCTGGACCAGGGTCTGGGGGCGAGGAGGTCAGGGCGGCTCTCGCTGCGGAAGCTGATGGAGCGCTAAACAATGAGAAAAACAAACTGTCACGGGGGCAGCAGCAGGACTGGGTGGATCGTTTGAGTGGCTTCCTGTTACTGACAGAGCATAAATCAGACATTTGCAAGAAAGAGAGGACAATGCCGCAAGGCCTGTGGGAAGTAGGGCATTGTCTTGCGCCTACGTGCTAAGGAAAATCGGGCAAGGGGCCGCTCTCACAGACGTGAAGGGAGTATCCGTTCTGCGAGACCGGGATAACCAAGTGTACCACAGCACAGGAACATTTCAGGTCAAATGCATGCGCAAAGGCGGCTCTCAGACAAGTGATGAGCTCTATTTTTTTTTCCCGTGGACACCTCCGCTCTTGAGAACAACAAAGTTTAACAGCAGTGGATGCCCTTTAAAAAAACAAAAGCAAAGAGAACACCTGGCCGGCACTCCTACCCTCCTCCTTCCGGGCACACTCCTTGGGCATCCCCGCTCACACGGTGGGCGGACTCCCCCAGACCTGACCAAGCAGAATACTCCAGCACCCTGGTTCAGAGGGGGACATGCGATTCCCTGAAATTTGCTGTGTGCTTCATGGGAGAAAGAGCAGAAGATTTTTCCTTTGGGATTGCAAGCTCACGAAATAACAAGAAGGAGTTTCTTGAAGCAACTCTCTCTGTTCACACAGAAGAGTGTGTCTGCTATAGGAGAGAATAAAGGGACCCACAGAATAAGGGATGGAGAGAGAGTCCGACGGAGGGAAGGAGGGAAGCAGCAAGCTCTACCCACACTCAGCCCCTGGATCTCAGTGTGCTTGAAGCCAGGAAGAGCCACTAAGGCTAAGGGCTAATATTGATACATTCCTCTTTCTGTTTACATTTGCCTCAGTTGTGGTTCTCTCTGTCAGTTACCATCTTGGCAGCAAATGATGCCTGTTCCAAGTTATGTTCTTATTTTACAAAGAGGTCCTGGTAGACTTTGGGGTGGTCTAATCATCCAAAGTCCTCCCCTGTGGCTGAAACATGCTACCACAGTGCTTTCTCTTGACAAATACAAATGATCAAGAAGAAAGCTGAATGCATCATATTCAGCCTTCATCCTAGATGATTTCAACACACTTACTGGAAACTTTGCCAAAGCAATGAGGTGTTGCTGTGCTGAAAAGCCACATTCTTATTTAGCAAGTGTTCCCTGCCATGGCTGTGGCCACACGTCTACGGCCTTCAATGTGAAGTTCCAACTCCCTATTTTGGCACAGAAGTCCTCTTGTAATCTGACCACAGTCTATCTATGTAGAATCACCTCCTGCCACTCACCCATGAGCCCCCTATTCTCCAGCCCTACTAGGCTATCTGCCATTCCCTAAATGTACCATGCTTTGCCATTTGCTGTGCTTCCTTCAAGCAGTCTTCTTTTCCTGGAATGCTTTTCTTTCGTTGCCTTGCTGTCTAACTCCTAACTGTCCTTGGGATATAACTCAAATACCTCCTCTAGGAAGCCTTTACCAGTGTTCTCCCATCCTTTCCCAGAACAATTTGGACATCTCTCTGACATAATGATGATCAGATTTTATTACACTTATTGGTCACCTGTTCTGAATTATAAACTTCCCGAGGGCAGGAACTGACTTTGCATGTGACATATGAGCCGTCATCTCTGAGAAGTTATAAGGTAGCTTCCAAATATTTTGAGATTCAACCACAAAATTTAAGAAAGTAAAGAAAATTTTAAAAGAACCATTCAACATAAGGGCGTTGTTAAACAAGTTATAATTCATCTGCTTGAAAGAATGTTATCTAGCCAATTAAGACAATTCTGAGATACTTTTAACAGCTAAAAATCCCTTCTTTGTAAGTTAAAATAAAATTAGGATTAAAATCTGTATATGAATACCTTATAATTATGAAAAAATGCACATGAGCAAAGATACAAAGGGAATGCCACCAAATCTACTGTTTTTGCCTGATGACATTATAGATAATTTTCACCCTAGTTTACAAATTTGTATAATTCGAGAAAAATGAATAAATGAAAAACATAAAAAGAAACTGCCCAGGGGCTTCAGGGTGTCACCACAACCTTCTGGAAGCAGGAAGCGAGCTCTGTTTACAAGCCGTAACACAGTTCCTCAGGCTGGCCTAGGCACCTGTGAGCTCCTGGGCTCATTAATGAGCTCATGATCACTGGACCAGCCCTGTGAGGGTCAAGAAAGTACTTGCTCCAAATGCATTTTACTAATGGTATCTCACAAATCCCTGTGATCTCTTAAAAACAGGCCTTTATAAACAGTGACCAGACTAATGCTTGCAGATCCCCCCAGCACTCAAAATCAATTAGCCACAGGCACGGAAAGGTCAAAACAAACAAAGTGAGTCACCAAGTAACTCACTCATCTCAGTTTGCGTTCTGATGCCAGCTGGGGCAGGAATTAAAGAGCAGAAAGAGAGGAAAACACAAAAAAGAAGATTCAAAGTCAAAGACATTTTCCACTTTCACTTGAGAGAATCAACCGCCTTCTTTGTTCCAGTGTCAGCCCCTGACCAACTTCAAGTGTCCCCCCTCTCCACCACCAGTTTGAAAGTAATTTAAGCTAACTTTAAATTTTCATACAAAAATATATAAAATTAAGTACAAATCCCCTCATTTTCCCAAGTACACTTCCTAGAAGTAACTGCTATAAGTTTGTTCAAGGTCTTTCCACACCTTTTCTATGCATTTGCTAATATTCACAGAAAACAGGATGTCTTCTCTTTTCATTCAACAACATGTCTCTCCATGTTAGAATATTAAGACCCACTCTTAACAAAAATATTAATTTATGGAGGTGAAATTCACATAACATGAAATTAACCACTTTGAAAGTGAACAATTCAGTGGCCTTTTTAGTACATTCACAGTGTTGTGCAACCACTACCTCTAGCTTGAAAACATTTCCCTTGTCCAAAGTCACTCATTCTTTTTTTTTTTTTAACTGAGGTACAGTTGGTTTATGACATTATATTAGTTTCAGGTGTACAACATAGTGATTCAAACATTTTATAGATTATACTCCATTTATAGTTATTATAAAATATTGGTTATAATCCCTGTGCTATATAATATATCCTTGTAGCTTATTTATTTTATATATAGTAGTTTATATCTCTTAAGTCACCCATTCTTTTTTTTAAATATCTTTATTGGAGTATAATTGCTTTACAATGTTGTGTTAGTTTCTACTGTACAACAAAGTGAATCATCTGTATGTATATGTATATCCCCATATCCCCTCCCTCTTGAGCCTCTACCCATTCTTTTTAATGGCTACAGAGTTAGTGTCCCATAGTCTGGATGGACCACATGGATTTAATCAACCTCCAACTGATGGACATTAAAATCGTTTCCAGTGTCTGGTTATTATAAAAAGTGCCTTAGTGAACATCCTTATGTATTTATGCTGGTATTTCTGTAAGGCAGATTCCTTAAGTAGAATTCCTTGGTCTAAGAAGTATCAACCTCTTAACATTTGATAAGTACTGGCAAATTGACCTTCAAATAGTCTGTTCAACTTCAGAGTCTCCAGAAAGGTATATGATAGTACCTTTTTCTACACACTCATCAATAGGATATTATTATCAATCTGATAGGAAGAACAAATACATCTTAATTTCAGTTTCATGTTTCAAACATAAGATTGAACATTATGTTTTTATTGAAAAATTTCCCAGAGTTGGAGACTTTTTTCTGTTGCAGTTTGGGGGAAAGAAAGAGAGAGGTGAGCTATACTAGGGGAGCTCCATCTCTAAGAACTCCTGGTTTTGTCTTTCCTTAGTGATTGCTGGGCTTGGGTACTAAGGGGGAAGGGACAGGGATGAAGTTCACCACGTATATCACAGAGGGGCCGTACACACTTTCCCGTGCATAGTACTTCCGATGAGTTCTCTCCGATCCTCACAACCACCCTGAAAGGTGAGAGTTTATTCCCATCTGGCTGATGAGTAAACTGAGGCTAGGGAGGCTAAGGTATCTCCCCAGCTAAGATTCAAAACCAGATCTGTTTGACTCCAAAACCTGAGCTCTTTCTACTATGGGGACTGTACCTGCTGTTTACATGCAAATCATGCATTGCAGGGAGGTTTCAGTCAGATGGGACTCAGCCTTCTTGGAGTTTAAGTCTAGTTAAGAAGAGGGAATGCATTTGCTCAGTTTTAGGAATAATGACTGAGTGGCTCTTTGACCAATCAAACTTCAGATTTACACCTTTAATTTGGATGGATTAAAACAAACATTTTGTCTTTTTAAAACTCCACTTAGAAAGGGGAAGGATGCTGAAAGGAAGAATCCCAAAGAAGTAAAGAATGCTGGACAGAGGTATGGTTAGCAGCTGGCTGGCCCTGGAGACAGCTCACAGCCAACCAGGCCCAAGCCATGGGGGGCTGTTCATGACAGTGCTGACCACACACCATACCTGCACCCCTGCCAGTCATCAGTACAGCTGGTCACAATTAGATGAGAGGATTGGAGCTGGCGGAGAAAAAGTGACTACTGCTAGGAGGAAAAACCCAAAGAAGAGGAATGCCTTGCAAGACAGGAGAACAGCCACATCCCTTCCAGCGCCCCTGCCACTGCCCATCCCCCTGCTCTGGCTCCCTTTCACCATGTGCTGTGTGATATTTACCGGTTTGTTTCTGACATGTCTGGTTCCTCCCAATAGAAGGTAAGCTCCTTGAAGACAAGGATATCTATTTGTTCTGTTCACTGATGGATTCACCAACACTGGCACATGGTAGAAGCTCAACAATTTTGCTTAATGAATGAATGTCGTTGCTTGTATGTGCTGGGCTCTGTGAGTGGGGCTTTAGAGCCCTGCTATGCCCAAGAGGTGAGGATTCCTACCCTTTATTTTATAGATGAGGAAACTTGAGGCTCAGAGAGGGTGATTCTTTGCTAAAGGTCACGCAGCTAATAAATGGTGCTCCAGAATTTAAACCCAGGTCAATGGTGAACTCAGGATGACAATCCACATCTGGCCTATTTGAGTCCAACTCTCCCCCAC